GTTGGGATTAATCCTGCTCTTAAAGTCCTGTAGTATTGTTTTTATGAAGTTAGGTGCACCAGAGTTTGGTGAATATATGTTCATGATTGCAATATCTTCTTGGTTTATTGTTACTTTGGTCAGAATGAAATGTCCCTCCTTATCTCTACTGATTAGTTTTAGTTTAAAATCTATTTTGTCAGATATTAGAAGTGCAACACCTGCTTTTTCTTAGTACCATTTGATTCGTATATTTTTTTTCCATCCTTTCAACTTAAGGTAGCGCCTGTCCTTGAAAGTGAGATGAGTTTTTTGCAGACAACAAAAAGATGGTTTTGTTTCTTAATCCATTCATCTAGTCTATGTCTTTTGACTGGGGATTTCAGTACATTGATACTTAAAGTTATTAATGAAAGATGTGTATTGAATCCTGTCATTTTTATTTCTGTTCACATTCCTGATATAGCTGTGCTTTTCCACAGTTATACCTTCATTGAATTTCTTTCCGCAATCCCTTGGGTATAGTCATTCCTTTCTTCAACTCTTTGTATTGCTTCCAGAACTCTCTGAAGGGCTGGTTTTTTGGACATGAATTCCTTCAGCCTATTTATGTCATGGAAGATTTTTCTTTCCCCTTCGACTATAATAGACATTTTGATTGTATAGTAATCTGGCATCTGTGGTCATTTAAAACTGGAATACTTTGGTCCAGGGTCTTCTGGCTTTCATAATCTGTAGCTGTAATCCTTACGGATTTTCCTTTATATGTGACTTGTTTTTTTCTTTTGCAGCTTTCAGTATTGTCTCTTTGTTTTGTACGTGTAGTGTTTTTACTATGATGTGCCGTGGAGAGTTTCTTTTCTGGTCCTGTCTATTTGGTGTTCTATATGCTTCTTGTATTTTTATGGGCATGTCTTTCTTTAATTTTGGGAAATTTTCTTCTACAATTCTGTTGAAATTATGGTCCGTACCATTATCTTGAGATTCTTCTCCTTCCTGTATGCCTATGATTTGTAAGTTTGGTCTTTTTATGGTGTCACACAATTCCTGCATATTCCATTCTTGCGTTTTCTTAAATTTTTCATAATCTTTGCTTGAGTGGTCTAGTTCATCAAGTTTATCTTCCAGTCTTGACACTCTGTTTTCCATTTCCTTCATCCTGTTGGTGAGGCTTTCTCCTGTCGTTTCTAATTGGCTTACTGAGTGTTTCATTCCTTCTTCATTTCGGCCTGAGTAGCTTCAATATTTCTAACTCTTTTCTGAATTCATTCAGAAGTTTATCTCTATGTTCCTTCAGTTCATTGATTTCTTTGTTTGTGTGTTCTTTAAATTCACTGAATTCTTTTATCATGTTTATAATT